ATGTAACACCATATTGTCTTCCATAGTGGCTGAACCAGTCTGCATTCCCACCGGCAGTGTACTAGGGTCTTTTTTTCTCCACACCCTCGTCAGCACTCGTTGTTTGATGATTAGTTGATGGCAGCCATTCTGACAGGTGTGAGGTGATGCCTCATTGTTGTTTTAATTTGCATCTCTCTGATGATTAGTGATGTTGAGCATTTTTTCATGTCTCTTGGCCATTTGTATGTCCAGTTTGGAGAGGTGTCTCTTTAGGTCCTCTGCCCATTTTTTTTGTTTTGTTTTGTTTTATATGTTTTTATTGATTTTTCAGAGACAGAGGAAGGGAGAGAGAGATAGAAACATTGATGTGAGAGAGAAACATCGATTGGCTGCCTCTTGCATGAACCCCTCTGGGGATCGAGCCTGAAACCTGGGCATGTGCCCTGACCAGGAATTGAACTGGGACTTCCACTGAGCCACACTCTGCCCATTTTTTTAATTGGGTTCTCTGTCTTCCTTTGGTTGAGTTGTATGAGCACTCTATATATTTTGGGAATTAACCCCTTATCTGATGTATCATTGGCAATTATGCTCTCCCATATAGTGGGTTCTCTTTCCATTTTGATGGTTGTTTCTTTTGCTGTGCAGAAGCTTTTTAGTTTGATGTAGTCCCATGTGTTCATTTTTCCTTTGTTTCTCTTGCCTTAGGTTTTGTGTCAGTGAAAATTCTGCTATGTGTGATGTCTAAAATTTTGCTGTCTACATTTTCTTCTATGTTTTTTATGGATTTATAAGTCACATTGAAGTCTTTTATCCATTTTGAGTTTATTCTTGTGTATGGTGTAAGTTGGTGGTCTAGCTTCATTTTATTGCATGTAGCTGTCCAATTTTCCCAACACCATTTATTTATTTATTTATTTTTTATCCTCATCCGAGGACATTTCTCCATCTTTTATACAGACAGAGTGGGAGGGAGAGAGAGGAAGAGAGAGAGAGAGAGGGAAACATCGATGTGAAAGGGACACATCGAGTGGCCACCCGCACGACCAACCAGGGCCGGGGACAAACTGCAACCGAGGTACGTGCCCTTAGCGGGAACCGAACCTGGGTCTCTCAGGACCGCAGGCGGACGCTCTAACCGCTGAGCCAAACCGGCCAGGGCCCAACACCATTTATTGAAGAGGCTGTCTTAACTCCACTGTATGCTCTTGCCACCTTTGTCAAATATTAATTGAGCATATTGTCTTGGGTCAATTTCTGGGTTCTCTGTTCTGTTCCATTGATCTATCTGCTGTTCTTGTGCCAGTACCAGGCTGTTTGGATTATAGTAGCTTTGTAGTATAACCTGATATCTGGTATTATGATTCTTCCTACTTGTTCTTCTTTTTCAAGGTTGCTGTGGCTATTCGAGATCTTTTTTGGTTCCATATAAACTTTTGGAGTATTGTTCTAGTTCTGTGAAATATGTCATTGGTATTTTCATGGGGATTGCATTGAATCTGTAGATTGCTTTGGGTAAGATGTATGGACATTTTAATGATGTTAATTCTTCCAGTCCATGAACACGGTATATGCTTCCACTTTTTTATATCTTCCTCTATTTCTTTTTTCAATGACCTGTAGTTTTTCTGTGAGGAGGTCCTTTACTTCTTTGGTTGTTTATTCCTAGGTATCTTAATTTTTTTTTATCCTCACCCGAGGACATTTTTTTCCCATTTTTTGTTTAGATAGAGTGTGAGAAAGAGAGAGAGAGAGAAACATTGATGTGAAAGGGACACATCGAGTGGTGGCCACCTGCACGACCCAACCAGGGCTGCGGACAAACTGCAACTGAGGTATGTGCCCTTAGAGGAAACTGAACCCAGGTCTCTAGGGACCACAGGCCAATGCTCTAACCGCTGAGCCAAACCGGCCAGGGCTATCTTTATTTTTTTGCTGTGACGGTAAATGGGATTTTTTTTAGTCTCTTTCTGTGAATTCATCATTGGTGTATAAGAATGCCGTTGATTTCTTAATGTTAATTTTGTATCCTGCTACTTTGCCAAATTCATTTATTACATCTAGTAGATTTTTGATGGGGTCTTTAGGGTTTTCTATGTAGAATATCATGTCATTCACAAATAAATGACAGTTTCAGTTCCTCCTTTCCAATTTAAATTTCTTTTAGTTTTCTTCATGTCTAATTGCTGTAACTAAGACTTCCAGTACTATGTTAAATAAGAGTGGCGAAAGTGGGTGTCCCTGTCTTGTTCCTGATCTTAAGGAAAATGCTTTTAATTTTTGCCCATTGAGTATGATGTTGGCTGTAGTTTTTCATATATAGCTTTTATTATGTCAAAATATGATCCCTCTATTTCCACACTGCTGAGCTTTTTTATCAGAAATGGGTGCTGGATTTTGTCGAATGCTTTTTCAGTATCTATTGATAAGATCATAGATTATCTTTCATTTTGTTTATGTTGTGTATCACATTTATTGATTTGCAAATATTGTACCATCCTTGCTTCCGTGGGATGAATCCCACTTGGTCATGATGAATAATTTTTTTGATGTATCACTGGACCCAATTTGCTAATATTTTGTTAAGGATTTTGGCATCTGTGTTCATTGGGGATGTTGGCCTGTAGTGTGAGAGAGACATATCAACTGGTTGCCTTCTGCACAACCCCGACCAGGGCCAGGGACGAACCACGAACCACAACCAAGGTACATACCCTTGGCCAGAATCGAACCCATGACTCATTGGTCCATGGGCTGATGCTTTACCACTGAGCCAAATGGTCAGGCTGTAGTTTTCTTTTTTGTAGTGTCTTTATCCAGTTTTGGAATTAGGATTATGCTGGCCTCATAAAATGAGTTTTTTTGTTTGTTTGTTTGTTTTATCTTCACCTGAGGACACTTTTCCATTTTTTGTTCAGATAGAGTAGGAGGGAGAGAGAGGAAGAGAGCGAGTGAGAGGGAAACATTGATGTGAAAGGGACACATGGAGTGGCTGCCACCCACACAACCCAACCAGGGTCGGGGACAAACTGCAACCGAGGTACGCACCCCTAGTGGGAACTGAACCCGGGTCTCTCTGGACCGCAGGCCGACGCTCTAACCGCTGAGCCAAACCGGCCAGGGCTCATAAAATGAGTTTGGAAGTCTTCTGTCTTCTTGGATTTTTTTGGAATAGTTTGAGGAGAATGGGTGTTAGATCTTCTTTGAAGGTTTGGTAAAACTCCCCTGTGAAGCCGTCATTTTTTTTATTTTTATTTTTATTCGTTGATATTTAAAGGAAGGGAGAGGGAAAGAGAGGCAGAAACATCGATGAGAGAGAACATCAATTGGCTGCCTCCTGGATCCAAATCTCTTCCTTTTGTGGACGAAAAGGGGTCACATACTAAGCCTGACAAGCTCAAGGAAGGCCTGCATGAAGGCCTTAGAAACTCAGAGACTTAAAGTAACCACATAGGATAGTCTGAAATGAAAACTTTTGAACTAAAAGCAGTACATGGCAGGTAGTCATGTCCTAAGTTAGATTCTTCCCTGATAAAAGTCAACCTTTATCTTAATTAAGGCTGTCTTTTGTCTTTTGCATCTACCATAATATACCTTTGGAATGTCAGGGCAACTTCCCTTTTCAGGACCTATCAGGGGACCACCAATGTACAAATCCTTTCATTGTTATTCTTATGTTAATTATTGACTGTTAACACTCTACCCACCTATATAAAACAAGTTTCTACCATCTTACTTTTTATCCAATCCCAGAGGTTTCTCAACTTCACCTTCTTCTGTCGCCCAAATCTATCACAAATGGATTTTCTGTACCCACTTAGGTTTTCTGTTTTGATTGTAATATAGTTGTCCCTTGCCACTTCGCGCTTTTCAGCTGCAATAGAGTGAAGCCCCGAAAGTGGAAGCACCAAGTGGAGAGGGATGACTGTACATAAACAAAGAATTCTCCTTCGGGGAAATTCATTTATCCCGGTAGAGTCTGGAACTGACTAACCGCGATAAACGAGGGCCGATTGTATATAAAATAAGATGCGAAACTGCCATTCTCTGGAGCATTTTCTCAATCCTTTGAGATTTTTGCTTCTTGACCATTGTCAACAGTTTGGCTCAGAAATTCACAAAATTCTCTACAGGTTTGACTGTTTCTTATGTTGACACTTCCTCCAAAAGGAGTGCAGTATAATTCTTGTTTTTAAATTGCAAATGTCAGTACAATTCTTCCAGTCTGAGATTCTACTCTGGATAGCCTGGTTGAGTTTTGATGGTTTACAAATTCCCACAGAATTCTAGTCATCTTGCTTTTCACTAGTTTAACTCTCAGAAGGCAATCTTATTTCCAGATTTCTGAAAAAACACTTCATTGGAGCCGCCATGTAATGCCAGTAGCTATTCAAATGGCAAGTAGAGTGAGGATTAAATGTAAAGCCAAAGGATTTGGCAGTTGAGAAAGTCATGGGAGGAATCTGGCGTCAGCAGTTTGTGTAGAGGGAGTGGCTGCTCCCAGGAGGCCACAGATGAGGGAGGTCGAATTCCTTAGTTATTTATTGGTTATTTAAGATATGCTGGGCTGTGGGGTGAAATAGAAGCAAATATGGATGATGCTCCTGCACTAATGTGGCTTATTGAGCAGAAAAGCTGACATCAATAAAGGAATAACAATTACTGTGTGATGATACAGTGTGTTGTTGACTTATACAGAGATGTGATGGTGTTGAGGAGGTGGTTGGATCCAGGGTAGCGCCTGGCAATGAGATTTCCTGCGGCAAAGACGCAGAGCTGCTCCGTGAGAGACCAATAGGGTTACGTGGCTGAAGCAGACGGGGAGAGACGTGTGCGGGGAAGCAGCAGAGGCCTGGGGCGCCCAGACGAAAACCTGCGCGGCTGCTGAGCGTCTGGCCAGGAGGAGTGTGGACTAGGCGAGTCAGGGGAGTGGAAATAGGCCAGAAAGGGTGGGGAGAGGCGTACAAACTACAAGTCCCAGAAAGCAGTGGGCTGGCGGAAGTGAGGGAGCCCGAGCCGCGACCCTTGAAGGAAGAAAGGAAGTGCTTCGGCTTCGCGGTGCGGGAGAAGCTGGGTAAGGTAGGCAGGGCTGCGGCGCGGGGTGGGCGACGGCGAGAGGGGGTCGCCGGGCGCCCCGGAACTCTGTGTCGTCACAGGTGGCGGCCATTTTCGCGGGCGGAGGCGGCCCGGGTGGGCGCTCAGCGAGCGGGGGCGGGCGGGCCTGCGGCGGCTGGGCGGCCTCAGCCACCCGGTAACTGCCTTTTACCCCGGCGTCTCGTCTGCAGAGGGAGCGCTATGTCCGCGGAAGTCCCCGAGGCAGCCTCCGTGGAGGAGCAGAAGGTGAGTGGGGGGGAATGGGCCCGGGGAGCGCGGGAGGCTCCGAGCCGCCCCTGCCGGGGGCCGGGCCTGGCGGGCGGCCAGCTGGCGCCCTGCGGCGGGGCCGCGGGAGCCCGGCCCGCGCGCCGGGTGCAGAGTGGGCTGTGCCCTTGCGCCTCGGCGCGGAGGCTCAACACTCCGAGATCCACTGCCCGCAGTAACTCAGCTAGTGAGCGCCAACGTGCTGGGACTTTGAACCTTCGCCAGGTCCTCCCTGAAACGTGCCTTTGTAAGACGCCTCGGTGCGTCCGACATCTCCCCTCAATACACGCGAGGCCCCAGGGTCAGCCCTTATGCGTGGAACCTGTCTTTCCGTAGCTTGGTTTAGGATGCTTTATTTTGCCCTTGAAGAACTAAGTGTCCTATTGTGTTGTCTGCGCGCCGATTCCCAAGGCGGGATCTCGTGTTTGGGCGGGCCAGGGTTGGGATTTCAGCTCCAGTCCCTGTGGGCCTCGTACTCCTGGTCAGGTAGTAAACTCTTCCGGCTCCAGCCGCCGCCTCTGTAAAATGAGTTCTAGTACTTGCTTCATATGGTGGTTGTGAGGCTTAAATGACGTGGGTAATTGACAGTATTGAGCGCTGTCTGTGTTCAGAAATGTGAGCCAGTGATATTTGCATATGGTAATCGACTCAAAATCGGAAGGTTGGAATTAAATTTTGATGGGGGTGGGGTGGGGTATGTGCCGCTAGCGGGAACCGAACCCGGGACTCTCCGGTCCGCAGGCCGACGCTCCAACCGCTGAGCCAAACCGCAGGGCGGAATTAAAATTTTTGACCAACTTAGTTGATAAGGTTTTCCGTGGAAAAATAGGAATATTTTATAAACTCACTTGTAATAACTTTGTTGTATAGGGAAATATACCATGAATCGGTATGACCCAAATGACGAATGTACAGGCTTTATATTTTGTCTGGACTAGTGCCTGCCCCTTCCACTAGTTATTTCTGTTGCCCTGCCTTCCTGGATACTTGTGGCTGGTTCACAAAGGTCCATGATAAATTGTTTCCTAAATTGTTTATCGAGTGTTACCAACATTTTCTTTTTTTAAAAAACACCAGTCTGCATTATCATAAATAGGATTTGTTCTAAGGCTTGGACTTTGTAAGGGTTTTTGCTTAATGTTGCACCTAACCCATTCCATGTGTTCTTATCCACGGTAACTTTTCCTGAGCTGGATCGTTCTGTTTACTTGTAAAGTAACTGGAGCAAAACAAGAAAACATGTATAGTATAAGTAATAGGCCAAGTTACTTATTTCAGGTCCTTTAGTTTTAGGGTTGTTGTCATTAACACCAAAGAGTGTTAGTAATATAATGTCCCTTCTTGAATTAAGGATTGGCTGTAAATATTGAGTACCGGTAACATGGATACCATTCCTAAACATTAGGAAAATGTGCAGAGTCACTTCTGTGTTCCAATGGGCCAAATCACCTGCTTTTTCTATTTGGAAGAATAGTTAGATGACCTAAAACATTGGATTATTGTCTATGTACCCAAATGACCTTTTAATTAGAGCCAGTGTTCAGCTAAAATACCTTTATAGATTCATGTATGTTAGCCTCTGAAAAATTAAGGCAAAGAAATGAGTCCATGGAGTAAGAGCTAGACTACTATTTCTCTACTTGAGTAGTGTGAGTATCCTTTTTAAGAGAAAAAAACTTTAAAGAACAATATTTTTATTGGGATATTAATTACATATGTTTAAGCGATTATCTTTTATACTACCCTAAAACTAAAACAAATTAAATACAAACAAAACCAGTCTAAAACTATTATTTCTGAGTCCTATGGTATTTTGGTGAAAATTTCCAATGTATTGAGAATATGGTAGCAATTGTTAAAGTTCAGGAGCTTTTTGAGTATTGCAAGTTAACACGCCCAAGACCATCTGATGACTCAGTTCTCATTACAAGTAAACTGTGTGGTTATTTAACTGTAGAGTCATAGATACATCATTTAAATTGTAATTCAACTCTGTTCTTTTCTCACCCTGGACAATAGGAGTAAAACTGCTTAGTTTGTGGTTGTAAATGAAAGCTCAGACAAGGAAGTCACATAGCTCTACTTATAAGATGGCAATTCAAATGCCCAAGAATATGCTTATGGGTGATCTTTTAGATTATCACTGAAGTGAAAACAAAATATTAAAGTTTTGCCCTGCTTGTATGGCTCAGTGATTGAAGGTTGACCCATTCACCAAAAAGTCACCAGTTCGATTCCCAGTCGAGGTGCGGTTGTGGACCTGGTCCCCAGTGTGGGGTGTGCAGGAGGTGACCAGTTGATGTTCTCTGTCATTGATGTTCTCATCAATGTTTTTTATTTTATTTTAATTTTCATACAGTTAGTAGTTTTAAAAAAAAATTTAAAAATTAATTTTAGAGAGAGAGGAAGGGAGAGGGAGAGAGACAGAAATATCGATGAGAGAGAATATGAATTGGCCACCTCCTGCATGCTCCACACTGAGGATTTGGCCTACAACCTGGGCATGTGCCCTGACCGGGAATTGAACCAGCGACCTCTAGGTGCATAAGTCGATGCTCAACCATTGAGCCACACCGGCCAGGCTCATCAATGTTTCTGTCTCTTTCTCCTTTCTTCTCTCTAAAATCAATAAAGAAAAAATATTAAAAAAAATAAGTAAAAAAGTTTTAGCAGAGGCACTATGAATTTATTATCTGTGAATTCCACTTTGCTACTAAGCTAAGAAAGACATGCTCTTTGGCAATGAGGGTGAGAAGAGGCTTATGTATTTTGGAGACAAAATACATAATTCTGCTTTCATTGTGAATATTTTAAGCTGAAGGACTCTTTATTTATGTCTTTATTTTTTTATTTATTATTTTAGAGGAAGAGAGAGACATCAATTGGTGCCTCTCATACATGCCCCAATCAGGGATCAAACCTGCAACCTGGGTTTGTGCCCTGACTGGGAATTGAACCTGCCACCTTTTGGTATATGGGACGACCCTCCAACCAACTGAGCCACAGTGGCCAGGGCAGGACCCTCTTTTATTTATCTTTTCTCCCATATCTCCCATACAACAATTGTTCAGAAAATGTTGAATGAATTTTTCTCAGAATTTTTCCATTGAAACTATTGCCAAACTACTATTCTAATACAAATGGCAATGCTAGTACCACCGTTAAAAAAGAGAGCAAGAGAGGTATAAACCATGGTAATATAAAAAGCTTAGACCCACTTCAGTCTTAGTGAAAAGTGGAAGGGGAGTAAGAAATACAAACTTGCAGTTATAAAGTAAGTCACAGGGATGTAATGTGCAGCATAGGGAGTAGAGTCAATAATAATCATACTAACTATGCATAGCGACAGATGGTTACTAGACTTACTGTGGTGATGGCTTTGTAAGGTATACAAATGCTGAATCAGTGTGTAATACACCTGAAACTAATATATGTCAACTATACTTAAGAATAAATTTTTACAGCCCTGGCCAGTGTGGCTCAGTTGGTTGGAGTGTCATTCCGTACACTGAAAGGTGGCAGGTTCCATTCCCAATCAAGGTACATACCCAGGTTGCAGGTTCAGTCCCTGGTCAGGGTGTGTATGAAAGGCAGCTGATCGATGTTTTTCTCTCTAACATTGATGTCTCTCTATTTCTCTAGAATCAATTATTTAAAAAATAAATTTTTACAAAATTAAGGGATGTGTGTATATAAAATTTTCCCCACATAAATTCTGGCTTTTATGTTTTTTAAAAAGATCTCGCCCTGCCCTGGCCGGTTTGGCTCAGCGGTTAGAGCGTCGACCTGCGGTCCAGAGAGACCCGGGTTCGGTTCCCGCTAAGGGCACATACCTCGGTTGCAGTTTGTCCCTGGCCCTGGTTGGTCGTGCTGTGCGGGTGGTAGCCACTCGACGTGTTCCTTTCATGTCGATGTTTCTCTCTCTCTGCCTCCCACTCTACCTGAACAAAAAATGGAAAAGTGTCCTCGGGTGAGGATAAAAAAAAAAAAAAAAAAAAAAACACCTGTTGCCCTGGCCAGTTTGGTTCAGCGGTTAGTGTTGGCCCGTGGACCAGAGAGCCCTGGGTTCAGTTCCCGCTAAGGGCATGTACCTTGTTTGCAACTTGTCCCTGGCCCTGGTTGGGGTTGTGTCGATGTGTCCCTTTCACATCCATGTTTCTCTCTCTCCATCCTGCTCTATCTGAAGATAAATGCAAAAATGTCCTTGGGTGAGGATAAAAAACTTAAATAAAAAGATCTCAATAGCATGATTTCTAGAAATTTTATTACAATATTCATCAAGTTAAGTTAGTTAAGATGTCTTGGAGGAGGCTAACTCAGGTAGAGCTTTCAACTAAATTATTTCTGTCAATTTAGAAAATATGCTTGGTCCTTTTTTTGAGTGGTAGAAGAAAAGAACTGGTATTTAAATTACTTTCATATGTCACCAGTAAAGAGTAGATATAAATTGCTTTCCTGTTTTCTCCATTTATTAAAAAGTGCAATTAATACTGGCATTTTCTAGGGTTGTTTTGACAATACCTTTGGTAACTAAACGGCTTAAGAGTATTTTCAATTCAGAGCTCAATGTACTAGTTTGGTTTGTGTGCAACTGTTGATCCTTAGCAGTCTAGGGGTAAACCTCAGAAAAGTTTAAAATATTTCTCCTTACTAGTTTAATAGTTTACCATACAGCAGTTAGGCTTGCTTCTGTTTGTGCAAGACTTTAATACCAAC